CGGAAGCAAATGGTTCGGCCGTTTCGGGTGGCACAGCGGCAACAGGCACATCAGCAAACGGTGCGGGGGCATCCAGAAGCTCTTCCACCACCAAGGGCACGGCAGTGGTGCTGGCATCTGGAGGTGGGTGCTCAGTACGTGGTTCCTCAGCATCCATGGTAGGATCCCCAGTGGCTGGGGGGGTCTCCTGAGCCTGGGGCTCTGGGACAGCCAAATCCACCGGTGCTGATGGGTCGGCTGGAACATAAAGCTCCTCAACATCCCATGGGATAGCATCAGGAGCAGGCTGCCTCACAATGGGCAACATGCCGGGAAGCTTTTCTGGGGTGGCCGGGCTGGCAGCACGTGGGACCCCCTCACCCAGCACCACGGTATAGCACCGCGCCGCCGGCCGGTCCTCCCAGCCGCAGGCAAACAGCAAGTCCAGGTCTCCCGGCTGCAGAACGGCTGCTGGTGCCTCCCCGTGTGTGACAGCCACCTCCACAGGGGTCCCCTGAGCGTGGGCAGCCTCTTCCAGAGCCAGGCCCTGGCCCAGGGGAACTGTTTCCCATGGGAGGTCCTCAACAGGCACTGGGGATGTTGTCAGAGCCTCAGAGCCCGGCTCTGATGCAGAGCCGGCGTGGAAAGGCAGCAGACAACCACGGTGAGCATCCTCACTTTCTGCTGGATGAGTCTGGCCCTCAGCTCCATCACTCTCTGATCCCAAATCTGCGGCTTCATCCTCAGAAACCAGTTCTGGGACATCCCAGTTGGTGAGCTCTGTCCTTCCAGACAGAAGGTGATGGGTCTCGGATGGATCCATTCCCTCGACACTGTCCTCGTTGTGCTGCGGGGGGGACTGTGACTCCTCTGCCACCGTGTCAGGAGCTGGGGGCTGGCAGGGGGACGCTCGGCCGGGACAGGTCTCCTCGGGGAGCTGCAATACTTCACCATCGGGGACCAGAAAGTCTTGGTTATCTTCACCCCACCCCACCGGAGCACTGGGGTAACCAGCTCCCTCCAAGCCAGAAGCTGGACATGCACCCATCTCAGGGGATTGCATCCCACAAGCCACCAGCACTGCCACCACGCAACCGTCCACGAGCTCCGGATACACCAGTGGGTTGG